CACGTAAGTTGTGGCATACGATAAACTCGTCTCCGCCGTCCTCCCCATAGAAACTGTCCAGATATTTGACAGGGTCAGGTTTACAACTAAGGTTTTTGGAAAGAGTTGTCACAATTTTAGTAAATAAAATCCGTATGCGCTTGATTTAAGACTTTTTTTCCAGACTGGAGACCTGGCATGACAGTTTCTAATCGGGGAGAGGGAGGAGAAATGACGACAAGTAGGCCCAATCAAAGCTAACACAACGGAAGAAAACGTAAAACAAGACAGTTCAACACGGTACAGGATGCAGCTAGGAGGAATTGGTCTAGTTAATTTAAAGCATCAAATTCAAAACGGTATTTCCTCAACCTTCAGATGTTTACGGTAAATGAGATTGCCCAAATTTGAAATTTTTTACAGAAGAGGACGTCTACACGCCATAAAACAAGTATGATGCAATTTTAGGAACCCCCTGCTAACTGTTCTTGTTGATTCATCATTTTTGCTAAATTCTGACTTGCTGCGGGTAGCAGGTTAAATGTACACCAGGATAACATGATTAGGTTGAAACGGTAGGTTTAGCCCCACACCTAATCTTAACCCAACTTGTCTGACACTCACTGAAATGTCAAACCTACTCCTGGACTCCATCTTTAATCCCAACTTCAGTCGTAAACGAAACCCTAACTCACAACAGTCTCCACATAAATTTATAAATCCCAACAACCTAAATGGAAAACTGCAATAAAGAGACGATATTACAGATTGGCTGAGGAGGGTGCTTCTAAAGGTGCAGCTAACAAAAAAAACTGGTCTAAAGGAGCAGATCACAACCGGCAAACCAACAGAAGCCTAGAGATTGGGGAAAACAGTACTGAAAAGAGGTAATTCAGGTCACAAATAAAAAAAGAAGGCATGGACAAAATACCTTCGGGTGCCCTTGGCTGACCGGTACGCAGACGACGGGAGGGCAAGACTACTTCTTTTGCGCGGCTGATTATCGTCAAACGAGGGCAGACGCTTGCGGACACCTCGTCTGACGGAGGAATCCTTTGCATGCCAGTAGGAAGCCGGATGAGGACCGCGGCCGAGCTAGAAAGAAAACAACAAAACTGATACCTAATGATCTGGTTTACCGACATAAGGTGTGATATGCAAGACACTAACAGGATCAATACGAAAACGCAGGTTAAAACTTTGCATCACCAAAGGAAAGAGGTTAGTCAATAACGCCGTTTACCATTTCTTGGTGTGTGGCCCTAGTCACTTCCTGGGGACACATATACGAGATGGGTAATTAAAATAAATAAACCTATGGATTACAGCCTGTCAACGCAACTGTTGCTTGGGGGCGGAGTTCGAAAGATTAGCCTACTTACATGGGAGAAACGGGTGATCTGTCTCGCAACCCCCCAAAAACGACGAAAACCAAACCTGCTGATTCCAACTGTTTTTGATCACAACAGGAATAGCCTGGTTTCATAGATAAGGGTCAGGTTGTGTAGCTTAAAGACCACGTGGATCCAGGTTCAACCCTGAAGTCTTTTAATCTGAATGGAACTCTTTTCTGGTAAACATTCTACGCCTCAAGTCAATTCAATGAACATAATAAACAACCTCAAATGTGTGTTAAACCAGGCCCTCGAATTTCGATCTTCATGTTCCATGCGTGAGAACAATTATAGATGACACTGAAAATAGTAACTACCCAGGAACTCGGCAGTTGTCCGCATAACTCACCAGGGTTCTGATTGAATTTGCCAGCAGAGCCTGACTGCACAAATTCCATGAAGCACTGCCCTTACACTTCAACTAGAAATCAAAACCCTTCAGCTTGTTGTACATTCACAAATAAGAGGCCGACTTTTCTACAGAGGCCGACTTTTCTACACAGAGAATTCACATAGGCAGGCTAAAAAACCACCAAGTGAAAGTTTATACACAGGCGCCTTAAAAATCTCTAGACAGTGCAATCATTGAATACAGCACTACCTTCGTGAACTATAATGAATTGTAGAAGCAGCACATTTAACAAAACATCTGGCCTTGAAAGTATAGGCAAATCGAAAAATTAGGTCTTAGTGGAAATATAACTGAGCGGAAACGGAATGTGCTGCGACAATTGAGGCGATAATGCCAACTTAACAACTGCACGAGGGCATTAAGAAGTAAGTAAAAAAAAGGCTTCGATGTCACGCTTGGCAGATTAAAATATGCCCAAATAGGACCAAACAAGTGAGCGGCGCGAAGAGCAGGTAAGCAAACAAACCATGTCATACCCTTGATCTGTGTGCTGCGGCCGCCAGACGTTGAGCCTCCTTTCGCGTCCTAATGTCCTCGCGCCGACGCAGACTCCTGGCTTTCATTGAAAGACGTTCCTCGGCCCCGGT